CACAGTCTCCAGATGAGGCTGGATCACTACTTTTATGTTAAGTTTTTGGCCGCGGTGTGGTAGCCCTGTTGGTCCCAGTAGATGAGAGACAAGGCGGGTGAGGTCATGTCTTTTTCGGCACCAGTTTTTGTTGGTGGAAGGTACAAAACTTTTGAGCTTTTCGCGGCTCTTCTTTGGGTCAGGACTCAGACCGGAAGAAGAGCTCTGGGAAGCTTGCGAGCTTGTCACTTCCACCAATAGAAGTTGGTCCAATAAAAGAGATTCCCTCACCCGCCTACTTTATATAACGCCATTACAGTCTCTACCTACTTTCATAGAATCATAGAATATCAGGGTTGGAAGGGACCTCAGGAGGTCATCTAGTCCAACCCCCTACTCAAAGCCGGACCAATCCCCAGACAGATTTTTGCCCCAGATCTCCAAATGGCCCCCTCAAGGATTGAACTTATGTAAAGGCATTACAGAATCCACCCGCCCCCCGCCCTTCTATTCCTTATGCAACCTAACATCTGAGCGTTTGATGGTGTTTTTTAAACCACAGCTGCACATTGCACGGAGGTCTCCATTGAGCTGTTTATAATGATGCCCAGGTCCCTTTCCAGAGTGGAGTCGGTTCATTTAGATTCCTCTACGGTGTCAGAGTAGTTCCACGGGGCATTATTTGGCACTTACTGACACTGCATTGCAGTTGCCATCCTGTTGCCCATTACCCTCGTTTGGTTAGGGCTCTCTGAAGTTCCTCGCAGCCCTCTCTGGTCCTGATTAACCTAAATAACATTTCACCATCTGCAAATGTGGCTGCCTCACTGATTACCCCCCTTTCCAGATCATTAATAAAGACAGTGAACTTGTGTTTTTTCCAAAGCCCTATCATCTGAACCCCTTTCTGGTGCCCCACGATGGGGGAGCAGGAAAGGATTCAGAGAATGCAGAGATTCGGATAATAGAGCAGAAACTCCCCGCTGCAAGATAACCACCCTGCTGCTGATTGGCTCCTGTAACGACATAGGGAGCCCTCCGCAGCCTGAGCGAGCGGGGCCATGACAGTGGAGCTGCAGAGGGCCCTGCACTGCTGCTCCCGCCCTTTTAATGATCTGATCCCGTGTCTCCCACGCTATTCGGACAATGGGGCGTACACTGTATATTAAACAACGCGGGATCTCGCACCGTGCTTCAGTTTCTTTAGATCTCCACTATGGGCCTAGTGACTTACTGCTTTTTAAATGATCGATTTGCTTCCTCTCCTCCCACTCAACTTCCAAAATTATCTCATTTTTTATTACCAGGGAAGAGCAAATCTGGGGTAGGGATCTCCAAAACCGTCTCGACCGAGTAGCAAAAACCAACACAAATAATCCGTTGAGCTTCTCCGCAATGTCCTTATCTTCCTTAATTGCTCTCGTTAACCACTGATCTCCAGCGGCCGCACTGGTTCTTTCAGGAGTAGAGCTCCACAGGAGGAAATAGTCGGTGGCCCCAGTTTCTCGGAGGATGTCTGCACTGCAATCAGAAGGTGTAATTTGCAGCGGGTGTAGGTGTGTCTGAGCTCGCTTTGATCAAGTTAGCTCACTAAAATGCGCAGAGTAGCTGTGGTGGCCCGGGCTAGCTGCCCAAGTACGTAGCCACCGTCCCAGGCAGGAGTGCGTTCAACCGGCTCCACCTACCCCACCGAGGTTATGCTGCTATTTTTAGCAAGCTAGCGTGATCAAAGCGTGTCCGGTACGCCTACATGTGCTGCAATCACACGTCTAGACCCTCAGGCTTCTTCCAGTGTGGAACATGGTATATTTCAGTCCCAAATCTCCTTCCCACCTCCCACGACATATTGGGAAAATAATAAACCTGTTCTTGTCCGAAGAGGGACGTACACTGAATTTGGCCATCGCTGTATTTAAACCTATTTGTCAGTGATTTCCTTGTAATGATCCGTAGGATTGCTAATGTTTTAGTTAATAACCTGAGCAATTTCCACCCCCCAAGAAGTTCCATCCTCCTGGAATATGTTTTGTGTCTCCTTTTTCTCCAAAACTGAGTGGCTTTGTGCTCCACCAGAGAGAACCAGCAGGTCTGGGGTGGGTCCCTTCCCCTGGTACTGAGTTACTCTGTGCATCACGGTATTTTCTATCTTTTAGTTCCCTTTAAAAATAGGTTTGCACTTGTTCCATTTTTTGCTGCCCCCTGCCGTCTGCCATCCGCTATTCACTTTGTGATGAGATTCTGCCGGCTGATACTCCCGCTGCTTCAGTTCATAACCGCTGGGTCCTGTGTTTTATACAAGCTTAAATAACCCAGCAACTCCTACTCTTTCTATTCCCTTCACAATCTTTGCCCTGCCACTAGGTTCCCCCTTTAATATTTTTCCAAAGGATACAGACCTACTTTCTTCCAGCCTTTCTACTTAAGTTCCCCAAGTCCCTGAGTCATTCTGTTTGTTCCCTGCTGCATCATTACCCATCTCTGTAATGTCCTTTCTCATATTTAAGTGATCAAATCTGGGCACAGATCTCCAGATGTGCCCTTACCATTCAATCCCTTAGACCATATTAGAAACATTTCCTGCAACATGTGCTCAGTATTTTCTATTTACGCTTCACAGGCCTGATTCCCTGCCTGGTCACACCAGTGATTTCCGTTCGGTGGTCGAATGAGGCCCCTTAGCACTTTGTTTTATTGAAGTTTTTTTTTTTTTAATTTATTGGGCCACAGAACTCGGGAGCTCTCAGTATCCCAGCATCTTGATCTACCCCTTTAGAATGCTCTCCTGCCTCACCCTCCATCAGGGAGCGTGGGCTAATAGGTAGCACGGGGGGCTTGGGAAATGAAGCTGCTCAGGTCTGTTGTCTCTGCTACTGATTTGCTGAATGACCTTGGGCGAGTCACTTCCTCCCCTTCTCTCTGCCTCAGCTTCCCTGGTGGTGAAGTGGGCATAATGATACTGCCTCAGATGAAAGTAGCTACATGTTATCGCCTCTTCTTGGGCATAAGAGTTCTCTCTGTTTTTCTACAGACCACAGTTTGAGGCTTGAGTTTTAAGGCTTCCCAGGCCTTTGAGGGTTTGTCTATACTGCAGGGTAAGCCTGGGCTTTGAACTCAGGCTCAAGCCCACCCCCCCCTTCATGCTACACACACATCATGTTAACCGGGGTCCCAGCACCACATGGGGATGGAGGGTCCACTCCTGAGCCAGGCCGGCACCAAGCGCTAAAGCCCTATTGCTTTGCGGTGTAGACAGCCCCTCTAGACTCGTGCTCTGGGAGTCCTCCAGAAGTATCCCACAATCCCACAGGCTGACTTTTTGCGTCCTCCGGACAGTCAAGTTTTGCCACACTGCCCCACAAACAAAGGGCTAGAGCGGCCACACAGTGGGAGGACACTAGGAAGTCTGGGATATGGGAGGTTGGACGCGGGCCTGCAAAATGCAGTGTAGACGCTGGAGCCCTAGGTTGGGATCCAGCGTTCAACAATTCCTAACCTGGGGTTACAAACGCGTGTAGACACTCAAGCCCTAGGCTAACAAACCCAGAGTCTGCCAACTCGTGTTCTACTCGCCCTGGGCTCCCGCTGCAGTGTAGGCAGACCCGGAGGCTGCATGTTACGTCTACCCTTCACACTGGGGGGGGGGGGGGGCGGATGCCAAAAAATAGTGTAGCCATGGCAGCAGGAAGGGCGAGCCACCCCGACTGTGTGCCTGTCTGAGACGCTAGGCACGTACCCGGGCGGCGAGCCCCCCTCCCACTGCTGCTACTCTCTGTTTGAACAACACTCCCAGCTGGACATGTAGATACACTCTTAGAGTGGTGAGCGTCTCCCTCAGCTGCTTAGTCTGGCCAGAATAAGAGCCCACAGCAGAGAGAGAAAGTCCTTTAGCTCAGGTGGTAGGAGGGACAGGCCACCATAGAATCATAGAATATCAGGGTTGGAAGGGACCTCAGGAGGTCATCTAGTCCAACCCCCTGCTCAAAGGAGGACCAACCCCAATGTCAGTGTTGGCTGATTAGAAGGTGGTAGGGTTGCCGATTTTGGTTGGACTTATTCCTGGAGGTTTCATCACATGACATCATCTTTAAATAAAGGTTAATCTTTAATTTCTGGAAACTTCCAGGACAATCCTGGAGGGTTGGCCACCCTAGAAGGGGTACCCTGAACAATGAAGTGAAACCTCCAGCTTGGTTTTTCGAATCAAGCCGTTTGTCCCCTTCCCCAGCAGCCTCCTCCCAGCCGTGCTGTGTAGATATCTGGCATTACTTCATGATACTCTTCTTCCACAGTCCTGGGCTTGAACCAGCCGCAGTTTCCGTGCTTGGGACTCTGAGCTAGACCGGGGGTCGGCGTCGCCTTTTTACTGAAACAGATTTTTAAGGGCAAATGGCTTTTTTGAGCAGAATGAAAACTTACCTGGAAAACGTTCCGAGGGGTAGAAACTTTCTGCTTTTTCACCGGTAATAACGTCTTAGGTTTTGATTAAAAAGGAAACATTGGGGAAAACCATTCGATTTTTCAGTTCGGTTTTTAGTAAATATTTTTGGGCTTAAGTATCGGGGGGTCGCCATGTTAGTCTGAATCCCCAAAACCAACGAGGAGTCCGGTGGCACCTTAAAGACTAACAGATTTATTTGGGCATCAGCGTTCGTGGGTAAAAAACCCACTTCTGCAGATGCCACATGAGAAGTGGGTTTTTTTACCCACGGAAGCTTATCCCCAAATAAATCTGTTAGCCTTTAAGGTGCCACCGGACTCCTCGTTATTTTTGGGCTTGTCTTTTCAAAAACCTTTTTGGTTCAAAAATAATGTTTTTGAACCCACTTTTCTTTTTTTCTTTCCATGTTTAGTGAAACTGGAAAATTTCACCTTTTTTAATAAAACAAATTTTTCAAAATTTCCAACAAGCAATACTGGAACTCTTCCAGCTGTTCTCGTTGGGGCTCACTGCTGAATGGGTTCTTAGTGGCCACTAGAAACCAATCCCCTCTGGTAATTGTCCACTGTTCTGACCTCTCTAGGCCTCCGCACAAGAGATTATGCAAACTACTACCAAGGCATGTGGGACTGCAGCAGCAATCAGCCGGATGAGCTGTCTTTCCAGCGTGGGGATCTCATCTACATCCTGAGCAAGGTAGGCGACAGTTACACCGCTCCAAAGCTAGGCGGATTCATGGCCTCTGAGCTTAATGGGCCAGATGTGGAAGTCACATCGGCGTCTAGGTGTTTACATGCCCCTACCCCAGCACTGCAATATCTGAATGCCCGTCAGCGGCAGCAACAAGACAGCATGAGCAGCGATGTGAAATGACTGCAGCCCAGCCTTCCCCCTGTGCCTCGCAGCCAGGAGAATGAGTCATGGAAGGACTTGGGCTGACACCTGGAAGGGAGCCCAGGTTGTTGCTGGCTGGTAGCACAAAGAGAGATTGATGTGTCCAGGTTTCTCTAGGCGCTGCGACTTGCTAAGAGCTTGTGGGACTGAATCCAGGGTAGATTCAGACCCGGATGGTGCTTCCTGGCCAACCGTATTCTGCAATGCTCTGAGAAAGCAGGAGGGTGGGCATGCATAGTAATGATCCTTTGCCCTTCTGTAGTGCCTCCTGTCTGCACATTGCAGACGCGAGTGAATTAAACCTCACAATCCCCCTCTGAAGTAAGTCAGTACCATCATCCCCATTTCACAGGTGGGGAAACTGAGGCACGGAGCATGGCCGTTTCCTCAGCAAGTCAGTAGCACGTCGGGGAAGGGAACCCAGGAGTCCTGGCTCCCAGGCCCGTGCTCGAATCACGGGACAACTGTCCCTCCCACGGCTGGGAGGAGAGCCCAGTTCCGACTCCCCGCCCCTCCCCCGTTTGGCTCGTACTGTTCTGTAATGCTTCCTTCCCTGTCCCAGGCGTAAGCGCCTGGTATTTAAAATGCCCCCGGGCAAGATGTCTCTCCATAATGGAGTCTGTGTGTGGTGGTGCTCCAGAATTGCAGGGGTAATTGAGTTGCTCAGCCAGGTGTGACCAGGCCTTTCTTTGTCAGACGCATGCAGGTAAATAAATTAACTGTGGGCACTGTACTGAACGTGCCCCTGGGGGAAGGGGGATGGAGTCAGGCTCCTGTCTAAGGCGGGGAGCGGGGTTGTAAGCGACCTCTCTGCTTCTTCCTGTTCAGAAGAGGCCCGGAAGTGGCTGCGGGATAAGCACCAGCTACGGTGGTAGGCCTGGTCCGGTTCATAGTGACCCTGGAGCGTGCGAAGAGCATGGCTCTGTCACCCTCTGATGAACAGCTTAAGGGGCGTTTTGTGTGTACAGCACCTAGCACAGCGGGGCCTGGTCTGTGATTTGGACTCATGACTCAGGCAGGGTGCTCCCAGCCCCTTCCCTGGATCTCGCATCACTCAAGCACCAGTTTCCGGCAGTGTTAAGTTTGTCACTTCCAAAAGGCTGCCTCAGCCAGGAATGAGAACATCCTCTCTTGGCTCCGCCAACAGGTTGCCGTCCTGGCCCACGGAGCCTTCCCCATCGTTCCTGGATGGGTCGGCGGGGGTTTTTTGGTCCAATTGCCCAGCACGTGAGTCTATCCCGGGAGGTTCTGCTGACCCGAGCCCCCGCACTCCACCGGTGAAATCTGCAAACCAGGCCCTCTGTGACTAATGGGGCAAAACCCAGATGTGCCAGGCTTTGCTCTGGTGCTGTTCATCGGGCCTAGCCAGCTCTGAAAGGGAGGCGCAGCTCCAGGGCTGTGGTTGCAAGACCGGGGAAAACTCCCTCTTCCAATGGGAATCCTGAACCCGTGTCACGCTACTGGACCCTGCCTGTGGGCCCGATCCTGGAAGGAGCCGGGCTCGGCCTGCCAGCTCCCATTGGGAGTTTAGGGTGCTCAGTTTGGCCCATTTTCTTTTTTTTAATAGTTACGCCGGCTGGGTGGTTTTTATAGGGAGGTGCAGTCTGAGCACAGGAACTCCTGTTTCCATCTCCCGTCTGCCACTGATTCTCTCTGTGGGCCCTGGGCCAAGCCATCCTGCTGGTTACGTCTCACTCTCCCCTTCTGTACAATGAGATGACCCTTGCCTATTGCCGGGCAGCTGTGACGGGGGGTGGACTCACCACTGTGTGTAAAGTTCTCGAAAGGGGACGAGCGCCGCTCAGTCCAGGATGTCAAGTATCAGAGGGGTAGCCGTGTTAGTCTGAATCTGTAAAAAGCAACAGAGGGTCCTGTGGCACCTTTAAGACTAACAGAAGTATTTGGAGCATAAGCTTTCGTGGGTAAGAACCTCACTTCTTCAGATGCAAGTTATCCAAGCAAAGGATCTGAATTGCCCTGGGTATTAACAACTGGCTATTTCCTATGGTGGAAATGCGAGTGATCTGATATCCCGGTGATGGGCGCCGTCTAAGAAGCAGAATGCAGAGTGCAGGAGGGGAGCTCCGTGCGGGAGTTGCTGGCCGCTTGTTTCTCCCTCTCGTTGCCCCAGGAACTGGTTGTGCATAACCTCGTCCGGGCTGATCTGGAGACGACTCAGGAGTTCACGTGGAGCCCTGACTCTAAGCCAGAGGAATTCGCCCAGGGTCTCGCCCGGATGAGCATAAGGACCCAGTGGAACACCGAGATCCTAGAGGAACCTATGGAGTTCCCTTCTTAGCTCTGCCCCCGTTTTTGAGAACCCCCTTTTGACTTTCCGCTTCTAGGAGACCTCGGTTTTAACAGGGTTAGCTGGAGGCTTTAATTCCATTGTGGGCTGCTCTATGCTGGGTCTGACCCACCGTTTTGCTGACGAGCAAGCGGAGACGCAGCGAGCGGAAGTGACATGCCCACGGTCGTGCTGGGCGCGCAAGCCAGACGGCCGGAGTTTTGACCTCGCCTAGACCCCGGGGTGCATGGGGAGCGAAAGAGTCAGGGTCCTGACTCTCGGCCTGGTGCTCTGCCCCCCGGCCTCTCTTCTATGGACTCTGTTTGGGGATCGGCCTCTGCCGCCCTCCGCCCGCCCCCATGCCCCAGCGCAGGGAATGCAGCTCGGAGCCACGGCGGGGTTTTAACTCTCTTCGGTGGCTCCAGATTGTGACTCTTCCGCTGACTTCCTCACACGTAACCAATTGGTCCTGAGAGCCTCCCTCTCGTAGATTACTTCTCTCGACGGATGCTCGCGACCACAGCAGAATCCGAGTCGGAATTAAGCAGGGGAGAGCGGGGACGGGCGGGGAGAAAAAAGGTGTTTGAGAAGCCTGTTCATTCAGCTGCGTTTTAATTTCCTTTTCAATCTTGTCCCAATTAATTCCCCAGAATTAATCTCATCGAAGCAAACTCCGTTTTAGTGGTGCGGTCGCTCTGTCTGAACATGAAATAGTAGCTAATATAAAAATCCATCTGGTGTGTTTGAAACACATGCTGGCTGCTGCTTGGGTCCTGTCTGACATTTCGAGCATCGACAGCGGGGGGGAAAGTGATTTGGGGGTTAGCGGACATCGGTAGCTGACTAGCACGCTCAATCTTAGCTCTGGAGCGCAGGGCACCGGGGCAGGACGGCTCTGATCGAGTTTCCAGGAGGGGGTGTAGAAACTGGGTCCCCACTGAGCACACACACAAAGGGGTAGCGTAGTCTAGGGATTAGGGCAAGAGACTGTAACTCAGGGAATCGGGATTATATTCCCTGCTCTGGCAAGTGACTCACTAAGTGTCCCTGGGCAAGTCACTTTGCCTTTCTCGGCCTTTGTTTCTGGATCTGCAAATTGGGGCTGTTGCTACCTCCTCGCCTTCCAGCAGGGATGGTGAGGCTTGATTCATTAACATGTGCCTGGTGCTTTGAGTTCCTTGGTTGGAAGGCACTAAAGCGGGCGAGGGGCATTGCTATTGTTGTGTTTTCTCTGCTCCCGACCACATGTCTAATTATCTGTACAGTCTGTCGTGGCCGTAAGTAACCTGAAGCAGCAAGGTGAGCCGCTAAGCAGATCAGTGTGTCAGGTCCCTTCCCTCTGAATTCAGCAGAAGCACGTGCACCCCTTAGAAAGGAAATGTGCAGAGGCCTGTGGCATGGGGCAGGGAAGCCGGGCCTTCTCTCTGCCGATCCGGGTTCTGCCGAGCTCCAGCTGTTGTCGTGTCATTGTGCTTGGCAGGAATGCCACCGTCCCCGCATGCCCCTTGGAAGTGGAAGGAGTCCAGCGGCAATGCGCCGGTGCCCGCTAATCTCCAGGACGGGCGTAGCCTGCAGGTGTTCAGATTACATCGCCTGATCTGCAACAGGAGGGCACCGGCATGGCTCGGAAAGCACCGGGCCTTTTCGCTGCCCGTGCCGGTACTAAAGCCGGCTGTCTTATTGGTACCGCAGGCCAGAGATTTGTTGTTGCACTTCTGGCACCGGGAGTGCTGCCGGGGCCTTCACCGGACCCCCGGTGCTGTGAATATTGCCAAGGCTGGTTCCATTGCCGCTTGGAACCTCTCTGGGCTGGTACCAAACCTGCAGCGTCGCTCGGGCCCTGGGCCGTCCCGGTGCCATTGTGCAGCACATCTGTGCCGCGTGACGGGCGAGGTTCCGCTTCCCTACCCTCTTCCCGGCAGCTAAAGGACGCCGGCCCTCTTTCCCCCGGGCCGGGTGATTTGTACGTTATGATAATTATTTGAGCGCTGTGAGACTTCCTATTTTAAGTGGACTTAGTTGGATGTGACACGCAGCCCATAAAACCGGAGAAGTTAATTCTCTCAATTGCTTGAAATGAAAGTGTATTGGGGGGGGGGGATGTTTTTATTCCTTGGACCCCGGAGCGAAAGGAGGCGTTTAGTGACATCTAGTGGCCCTTTTTGTCACTCTCCAGCAACTGTACTTTGTGGGGGTGGGGGCGCGGGGGGAGAAGGGGGGGATCTGAATGGCACAATGAACCTGATTGCTGCTTGTCAAATAGCTATTATCCACCTCTGACCTAACCGGAGGGGAATGGTATCTGCAAATCTCTCCCCCCACCCCGCCCACGTATTTATTGTGGGCTGGGAGGGGGAAGCGGAAAACCGCCCCCGGTCCTGTGTTAACAAGCCGCCGTGCGCCGTGCTGTGATGACGGAGGGCTATGATGGCGATGATGGGGTTTCGCGCCCATTAATAACCCCGATGGGAGGCTATCGAGTGAGGAGGGATGGGGACGGGATTTGGGGTCAGCT